GCGGCGGGGTGCGCTCCCGTTGTTCGGTCCCAGCGCCTGCCAACCTAGCAGTTCGAAAGCACCCCCGGGTGCAAGTAGATAAATAGGGACCGCTTACTAGCGGGAAGGTAAACAGCATTTCCGTGTGCAGCTCTGGCTCGCCAGATGCAGCTTGTCACGCTGGCCACGTGACCCGGAAGTGTCTTTGGACAGCGCTGGCCCTCGGCCTCTTAAGTGAGATGGGCGCACAACCCTAGAGTCTGTCAAGACTGGCCCGTACAGGCAGGGGTACCTTTACCTTTACCTTAAACCCCATTTAAATACACATTTGTATTGCAATGTACTCATTCCTAAGCCTAAATTACCCTAAATTACATTTTCCTTTCACATATCTTAGTACATCTTTTTTGAGCCACAGATTGAATTACACAATTTGGAGGTCCACATGTTAGGCTGGTCAGTTTGCATAAAAATACAGATCCACCCTGATGCAAATGTTTTTAGTCAATTAAAAAATGCCCCTCCCAAACAACCCTTATCCGATGGTGATTCTTCCCCCTCACAACAAAGGGTGTGGCCATGGCTGAAGCTATTTTGATTTGCTGGAAATCTCTCTCCTTCCCTCAGTGCCAACTAGGAAAACTAAACCAATGTTCAAAGATGCTTTTGCCATTTTCTTAAAGGTACGGTAATAGGATGACCTGGGCTACAGACATTTGCACACACACACAAATGGATTCAGAGGTATATGTCTTGATGTCACATAAGACATGGGCAGATTTGCAATCTGGGAAAACTTTCATGTGCACCACACCTACCCCCAGAACCAAGCACACACTGTAGCTTAGTCTGTTGGCTGCAATCGAGTGCTAAAGTTGTAACAGTCCTACCTGAAACACCTGAGAGCTGCATGGCAGTGGTGGGCGAGGAAAGAGACAAAAGTGGATGGGGCAACCAATGTAAATGTCACCTAGCAGGCTAGTTCCACACATTCTCAGACAACGCACACTGTCTTCCATCAGGGAAACGAGGCATTTTCAGAGCTCAAGGACGCATTCCAGACGGACATTATACAGATCATTTCAAGTAGGCTTTGGAAGGCTGCGTCTCTAACAGAAGGGTTGTGATCCTGCATTCACTTGTTTCCAGGAAGAGTCAAGGGCGTACAATGCTAATGGCTTGAGCTTGCTGGGTGTTGGTGGAGTGCTCAGATGTGGAGCTCAAGTACCTTCTCCTTATCCATAGTACAGTTTGAGGAAGTCATATTTCTGCTGTGCCTTGCTCCGAATCAGTTGCACCAAGTTTTGTACTCATTGAATCTCCTCTCAAGACACCAAGAAAGAAGGCCTTTCATTTCTTTCAAAGGCATAGCCATAAAATGCAGTCAAGTTAAAGAGCCAAATATGAACCCAGATCTACACTTGTGCTCTTGTATTTCTTCTTCTTCTTTATCCTATCCCTCTGGAATCATGCAGCCCAAGGTGACATATATGGGGGTTGCCAAGTGGTCACCCATCCAGGCACTGACCAGACCTAAACCTGCTTAGCTTCAGCGAGGTGGTGGCCTCACATGCCTTCAGGCCATACCCCGGCACTCCAAGGCTGGCGATAAGATTTTATCCCATCCTACTTTTGAAATGCCAGGAACAGAAACATAAATTATGGATTTCTTTTTAGAAATAAACTGCGTGGAACGAGTACAGAGAACCTATAAAAAAAGGTTTATTTGTCTGAAAATTATATTCCATGTTTACATTTAAATGTTTCAGAGAATCAATTAAAATGCCACTAAAACAAATACCAGCCTTCAATATTAAAATAAAGCAGCATTAATATTGAAATAAAGTAAAAAGAGAAACTATAAAATAGTTAGGATCATATTTTTCTCCCCCCTTTATTTATTTATTTACCAGCCAGGGGGAAAGCCTGGGCAATTTTTCTTTTAAGTTCTTGATCTAGTTGTGCCTGTAACTTATCATCCTAGATGCCAGACAAGCAGCCCTGGGGAGTGCATTCCAGCATTGAGGGGCCACCACAGAGAAGGCCTTTTCCAGAGCCGCCACTTGCCTTTGGCAGTAGGTTCCACACTGGTGAAGACCTTAACAAGCACATAAGCTAATGAGGAAGGTTTAGATTGCCTGTTAGCTGAGGGCAACTAACAGGACTGATGCCTTATGATGATTGCTTGTGGGATCTGGTTGACTAATAATGATAGTTGTCATTTCATATTAATGGCTATTGGCCACAAGCAATAAGTGGAACCTCCATGTTCAGATGCAGTATCTCTGCAAAATGATTTCCAGATGCTGGAAAGAGAGGATGGCAACAAAACCCTTGCCTTCCTGTGCTGCTTATGGTCTTCCCAGAGGTATCTCAGACTATCCACTGGTGGGAACCAGATGCTGGAATAGATGGACCTTTGATCTGATCCAACAGGGCTGTGGCTAAGTGGCAGGCAAGGCAGCAGATTTTGTGGGTCCCTCTCCCTGCCATGTGAGGTTCCTTGAGCAAGCACCATCTTCTCTCCCCCTCCTACACACCACAAGCTGAGTCACCTGAAACATTCCAGAATGGTTCTCAGCCCAACCACAGCTTTCATGGCCACACAAAGCCCTCCATCACATGGCATTGCACGTGCAGCACACCGCCCAAAAATCATGGGCGTCTGCAACATGATCCAACTGGGGGACGATTTCCCAGCTTGTGAGAGAATCTCTCCTGTTCTTGAAGTCCATCTAGCACTCAACAAGCCTTGTTTTAAACATATGGGGTGAGGTGGGACGGGGGAAGAAAGCTCTGAAACATTTGCCCCACTTATTTGTCAATGAGCTTTCCCAACTTTGACTCCATCGACCTTCTTTGCCCCATGGTAGAAGTTCCCTACCCTTACAATGGAGTTAAAAAGCAAAGGTGCGTTTTTTCTTCACATGTGAGCCCAGAAGGGCCTTTTGCGTCATCCACACCTGCTAATGCAAACATAAAACCAGCACCAGCTATCATTCACACATATATTTGTTTTTAATAGCGCAAACGTGCGCAAGAGAAGATCAAAGGCAACATGCACAAAGAAAAGCATTCTATTTGGAACGCAACCCACAGGATTCAATGCACCTCTATGTCTTCAAAGCAGAAGTCATAATTCTTCCTCGGTGGGCATGCCTTAGCTAGCACAACATGGCTGATCCCGAGCATTAGTGAAATATTCATGCTATAGGCTAAGCATATGGCAAGGATATTGTGGACCATTATCATGAAAGTCTAAATAATTGCCCGTTTAATTAGGGGGTTCTGCAGTGCTGTGTTATCTGGAAACAATCTGCGTTTAAGCATGAGCTTAATGGGCCTTGCCCATTCCACCTCTTGGGCATTTATATTTATATATATATATTGCTAGCAACATGGGATGAATCTGGAGGCAAAGTTTGGATCATTCCAGGTACTTGGATGGAACTGCTGGAGGGAATACTTAACAGGGCCAGCTTGGTTTGTACTAGGGGCAAACTGAGTCATCTCTTCCTCCAAATGGAGTTTTGTTCCCTTTATTGTCTGTGCGAGGAGAGAGAACCCTCCCCTCCCTGGAAACATGTTGAAATGGGCCACACCTAGGGAAAGCTGCATTCCTTCAGGCAGTGTGCAAGTCGATTCAAACAAAATCTTTCCTCCACCATCACTTCAGTTACATATATATAATCTTTCATTAAAAAATAAATAAAGATCTATAATGCTGCTATATAACCAGAGGCCTTTTTGATAGGTGAGTATAAAGTTGCAGTGCTATGCATATTTACCTAACTAAGACCAAATGGCCATGGTGAGACCTACTTCTGAGCCGATGGAGGTGGGAAACTGTAATATAATCCTTGCAATGTTTTCTTGTTTGATCCACTACTGGAATGCAGCAAAGTGCTGACCTCAGTGGAAGATCCCTCTATTTGAAGGTCCACAAGTGCTTAACTGCCTTGGGTGCAAAGCATTTAATAATATTTGCCAGTTAAATATCACTCTGCACAGGTGATACTTGGCAGGAGCACCAAGAGGCATGTAGAAATTGCTCGTGACACCGATGCCATCTGCGTTGCAAAACACTGCGTGTGCATGGCACAATCTGCACTCAAACAATGCACTTGTTGTGCCCATTAGCTAATTCACTCTTTCAGTCCAATCAATGCAATATAAATTTATTAAGGGATCGCCCTTAAAGGATTTCCTTCCCCAGAGGAATTTCTGGGGAAAGGAAGGCACGCTAAGCTATGTGTTCCAGTTCCACACCCAGCCCAATAGTTTACAACCTGTTAAGACACTCCAAGCTGTGTAGATCCACCCCACTTCAAATAACCGCCCCCACTTTAAAAACCATTGTTACTTTTCCAACTGAAAGGGCGTATTCAACATCATTCTTGCTAGCTGGGAATCTTTCCAGCTCAAGTTAATTCCTTCTAACTATGAGGGCTCAGGAGGGGACCCAAGCGTCACAGACCAGACCTGCCAATGCAACAGAAGTGCAGCGACAATATATTGAGCAGAGTCAGTTACTCTGGAAGAAACGGGTTGTGCCGCAACTCACAACCTGTTTCTTCCAGAGTAACTGAATTGTGGTCATCCTTGTGGCAAGTGTCAGCCCTTCCTTCAGTTGACTTTTCTTTAGATTTTGACTTTCACCTGCCCGCAAGGTTTGCAAATGCATGCGTGTCACAATACAGGAATGTAGCAATTCCCCTCTCTGCAACAGTCACCCATTAGGCACTTCGTTCCATTTCCCTCTTCTAAGTGAACCCCCATATTCTAATTGTTGCAAGGAATCCAGTGTCTGGGACGCCAGCAAGAAACGTCTTCCAAATGAATTAAATAGCAACAGGGCGAGTGCATTAAAATCAAGGACAGCCTGCCCCCCTCTCCAAACTCTCTGAAACTTTGCGAGCCCGAAAGTGGAGGAGAGGAAAGACAGGCAGGTGCTAGCTCCGAGCAAGACAAAATTGCACAGCCACAAGGCACAGTCAGGTTCTGTTGGGAAGCATCCTTACCTTAGAGAAAGAGGTCTTTTGCAGAAGGAGCTGTGCTCTTGAACTCCGGCTGCCTTGAAACTCAGAGCTGCAGTGAAGGGAGTGCTCTGGCTGGCGAGGGTTATAAGTTTCCCCTGCTGGTGTGCTGGGATGGGTGGTGTCTTTTCGACTGTGCTTTAGAAGAGTTTCTATGAATCAGTCTGGCTTTCATGAAAAAAACATTTATTTTTTTTAATATACTACGCCCTGCTTGCTTGGCAGTGAGCCAGAAGTTTCTGGGCGGGGACCCAGCTATTGCAAAGCCTCTCTCTCTCTCTCTCTCTCCCTCTCTCTTTTATGGCTTGATGCAACAGGAGCAGCAGCAAGAGGAGGGGGACCCCAGCCTACGCTGCAGAAAGGAGTGACTTCAAGCCTGATGAGTCACACGAGAGAAGACACCCTGGCCAGGTCTGTTTAGTAAATCTTGAGTAATGGTTGCCAACCATAAAAAACACATAGTTACAGATGTGGTAACAATGCAAAGGGGATACATCCAGTATAAACAAACAGGGCAACAGCTGCCTGGGTACATTGGGTAGTGATGTCCTCGTGAGTCACTTAGCTGACGCCACCCTCCTTGGCCACAATGCCGGGAACGTCGCCTGTTCACGGAAAGAAGTACAAGGGGACGGAGTGCACTTTGACTCCTTGGAATGCCAAGCTGTCCAACGCTGTAGGGTGTGTCCATCGTGGCGTTCTCCTGAAGGCACTCCCACAGGCAGAGGACTGGTTTCTGTGGTCTGGATGTCTCCACGTGGAGTGCCTACTCCGTGCCACCTGCAGCACAGTGCTAATTCCTTGCTGCCTTCAGGTTTGGGGGCTTGAGCAAGGTGCCCCCAGCGATTCCACTCTCCACTCTGAGCGGGCTCACCTCACCTTCTCACAGCTTTCCTGCCCTCTCCCACTGGGCCCAGGATGGAGAACTGCCCAGAGGGACAGCACAAGGCAAGAGGAGTGGGGTGCTTCACCTCTTCACTCTTGTCACTGCTTGCAGGCTCAGAGAGGGCAAGCGAACCGGCCGTGAGAGTGAGGAGGAGGCCCAGGAGTCTCCAGGAGTTATCAGTTGAGACCTTGGAGGTGTGCACCAGGGAAGGCAATGTTGTCCCTGCTGCCAGTCTACTGCACCAGGGGTGTTGCGTCTAAGACCCTGGGGTCAGAGCAGGGGTCAGCAAACTTTTTCAGCAGGGGGCCAGTCCACTGCCCCTCAGACCTTGTGGGGGGCCAGACTATATTTTGGAAAAAATACAGAACAAATTCCTATGCCCCACAAATAACCCAGAGATGCATTTTAAATAAAATGACACATTCTACTCATGTAAAAACATGCTGATTCCCAGACCGTCCACAGGCCGGATTTAGAAGGCGATTGGGCCAGATCCAGCCCCCAGGCTTTAGATTGCCTACCCATGGGTCAGAGGGTAGTCCTCCAGGCCTCTAGATCTGGCCTTTGGGACTCTCCCAACATTGCAGTCCTCACAGGCACCCTCCTTTCTTGCAGGCCACGCCCCTCACCAGTCCTGTTTCGAAACACTCTTGATTGTTTTGGCTTGGCTGGAAAGGTGTCCTTGAACTCTGAGAAAGACCCTTGCTTGTCAGGATGCAGGACAGAGACAGATGCATGAGAGAGCATAGAAATTAGCCCATGGGACAAAACGCATGCTGGACAAGATTTCTGCATCTCTTTATTTTGTCTTGTTTTTAAACCTATCCTAGTTTTTTGGTACTGTTTTATTTTTTAAAAAATGTATTTATGATATGTTTGCAAATCATCGTAAGATGCATGTGAAAGGCGAGTCATCAATTACTTAAAATAAATAAATAATGACACAAATTTGCATCTCTTGCCCCTCCCATCTTTGCCTCTGGCATGCAATCTCTCAGAAGCTGGCCCAGAAGGAAATGTTCTCCACCCCCCAAATCTGATACATGGTATTTAACGCTATACTATGCACTGAATGTGCCTCAGTAGCAATACTTGTTTTTTCTGGGATCATTTCTTCTGCTTCTTGTTCTGGCCCACTTTGTTGGTCTACCAGAAGTCCCTTTTATGATGCTGGAAAACGTGTAGAGATTGGGTGTGGGCATGTGCGGAGAAATTATTGATGTACAGTAGCTTTAGCCCTTCTCAGAAGAACATCCATAAATTCTTCCCTGGTGTTCCTTTGCTGTGAGGGAGAATTATCGCGGCTGCCTTGGGCTGATGTGTGGTTGTGAACGGGCAGAGAAGGAGGCTGGTGAGGATGAACAAGCAGACGAACTTGACCAGGAAACTGTTTGTCAAGATACAACCCACACTTTGAAAGGGAGAATATGACATTTTGTAGGACAAAGGCAAGGAGACAAGCCTTAAATCTCAGTGTTTCTCCCTTAAAGGGGAAGAATGTGCAAGTTTGATTAAGTGGAAACTAAAAAAACCCAAAGGCTAACAAATTTATTAGCGCATAAACTTTCTTTGGCTGCAGTCCACTGGTGGATTCACGAAGCATTATATTGAGTTGCAGGTATATATAGGCATGGTTAGAGGGGGCGGCTACTATAAATAATGAGTTCAGAAAGAAATTACGGGTGAAAAAGGACAGGCAGCTGCTCTTGATAACAAAGACATCCAGGTATTGATAACCCAATTAACAACAACCACATCCTTTATCCCAAATTCAAATCATAGAACTTGAGGGTCACCTAGTCGAACTCCCTGCAATGTAGGAATGCTGCCCTGGGTGGGCTTGAACCACCAACTTTCTGGTAAAGAGGAAGACACGCTGGTCCACTGCACCACCTGAGAGCACTGAACCTCATGGTGAATTGTAATTCAGTTCCTTCACATTGACCCTGGAAAAGCTCCTGGGTCTGGTTTATTCCTTGAATGGGGTGCAGGTGCAATCTTGCACAAAGTATTACATTGGCTTCTCCTGAAACCCAGTTTCATAAGGGCAGCTTTACAGAGCCATCCGCCCAGCCACCCCTTAGTTACCAAGTAAATAAGTTCAGGCCATGTGAATGCTGGACTAGTGATGGCTGTCCTCGTTTGACCCTGAGATACAGGATGCAGGGAACAGCAGGACGGCGAGAAGAATGTGAGCTAGTCTGTGAGCTATTCTGGCAGGATAAGCCCCAGAAAGGTCAGCATGTCAGCTGGAAGTACAAACTGTGTCCAACAGATAAGTGATCTACTAGCCGTACAAGATACAGTTTGTTATGGTGTTTTATACTGGACTGAGGACACTTCATGGAACTGATGACACCTCTGCTAGTCATCACTAAGTCACTTAGCATGGAGAAGGCTATGTCCACTTCCCAGCTCCAGTTGCTTCCTTCCAGCAGCTTTTCCCTCTGCCAATCCTGTGCTTCTGTCATGAACATAGCAAAGCCACAATTCATACATTCCTAGGAGAATTCATGCACATGCCTTCCTAGCAGAAGGCCATGGGGTCAGTCCCCAGCATCTTCTGCTAGGGCTGGGAGTAGGGATGGAATAATCTCTAAATTTTCGGTTCTCTCCATTTTCCCTCATCTTTCCAGGCTTGAAATCATCTCTCCACACTTCTGCATGAATCCATGAAAATTCCTCAGCAGTTTAGTGCAAATATCTCCTAATAAACATGTTTGTATGCTGCTTCAACAACTATGCCCATAAACAACTATGCCCATTTTGGTATGTTATTTTCACTAATACGTGCAATTATATGCAGACTTTATCCTAATATGTATCCATTTTTCTGCACGTTGATTGGCTGGAGGAAAGGGCACATTTTGAAGGTTGCTTGTGTTTCAGTTCACACATTGTTGTGGAAAGTGTGAATTTGGTAAGTTTACTTTTGAATGCAAAATGAATTGAATTGTTCCCTCGTCCCTTGCTGCCTTTCAGTGTGTAGAAAAAACTGACTCAGGGTCACTGAGCCAGGTGAACCAATGGTGCTACTCACAGGAAACTCCCCTGTTCTTTGTCTTAGAAATCTAATTTCCTTAGAAAGGAGATCATTTACATGGCACTAAAACTGGCCCACGAACTATCCATGTGATGCTAAACTGCTTTTCATCTCAGAACCAAGGGACCCTGTGGAGAGTGAAAAAATGCTAAACATCCCAGATTTCAAAACTGGAATTCTCTTTTTCCTGTGACCTCAATAAAAGCTCCTATATCTAGCTCCAAAGGGTCATGCATGGCAAATTCAATTCATCGCAATGTTCCGAAGGGCATCACATGTTTTGCAAAACACTGTATCACATGGGTATCTCCAGACCTTGTGCATAGTTCATGCACAGTAATAAACAGTGTTTTTTAAAACACCCAGTAATGTGCCTTCTTCCACAAAACCTTTCACATCTCACACTTCCCAGGCTTCTGGTAAACTATGGCTGACAGTTTGAACAATTCAGAAGAAATTTACTCACTTATGTGGAATTAACACTTTCTGTCATCACCTTGCCAAAACAAGGCTGGGAGGGCGTGTTTTCCGTCAGAAAAGCAAGAGGAGGATAGTTGAGTCTTCCTTTGCCTCCAATTTCCCCCTTCTAACTCCCTCCCTGCAGCTTTTCTCCAACCCTACAGTCGTACCTCGGGTTAAGAACTTAATTTGTTCTGTAGGTCTGTTCTTAACCTGAAACTGTTCTTAACCTGAGGTACCACTTTAGCTAATGGGGCCTCCCGTGCTGCCGCTGCACGATTTCTATTCTAATCCTGAAGCAAAGTTCTTAACCTGAGGTACTATTTCTGGGTTAGCGGAGTCTGTAACCTGAAGCGCCTGTAACCCGAGGTAACACTGTATTTTGCACACCTGTGCTTATAGGAACACAGGAAACTGCCTTCTGCCAAATCCAACCATTGCTCCATCTAGCGCAGTCTTGTCTGCAATGAAAGTCGTTTTTGAATAATCCTTTGACATTTTAGTGTGAATTTCTCCCAATAGACACATTTTGCATTCAATTTTGCACATGTTTGCAAAACCATTTCCCCTAACATCATGCCACCCCCACCCCCCATTTTCCATTTATAGGCATTTTATCCCAGTAGATGCATTTTTGCACATATTATTTTGCTGGACCTTTTTTTCCTTCTTCCAAAATTCAGAGAAGTGTGAATTTCAAAGTGTGCCTGCATTGTGGTTAATGTATCACCCCAGAAGAGTGCCAATGAGGTAAGTTCACCTTTCAGAGTGAATGGAATGGAATTCCCACCCCCACCCCTAGCAGGGAGCAGCTTGCTGTCTCTTGGCCCTGCCATTCTAAAGACAAGCAACGCTGAGCCTATACTTAAGCCTTTGAGGAGCCTGAGCAGGTGCCACCTGTATTTATCATTGGAAACAGAT